GTTTTAAATTCGAATTTGTTATTGCGTATTGGTTCGATTATAGAACGATTGTAAACGTTTCAGAAAATTGATCAAATTGAAAATAGTTCGTTTGATTTTCGGCAATTCTCTTCAGCGGTAGGTGTTATATAACAATTACTATGGTTATTGAAATATTGGATGTAAATGGGGTTTGCTTGCAAAACCTCCGCTGACGAAGTCGCGGGTAACAGCTAGTTAAATATAAAAGTGAAATAATTAATATTATAATAATTATTATAATTCAAATCATGTTAAGGTTAACAAACGAAATTTAAATCTATGTTTTGTTGAATCCTTTGAAAACAATCAGTTAGAATTTAAATCATATTGAGAAAATCTTTATACTGAAACTGAGAAAACAAGAATTGATTCGTAAAATTTGATAAAAATCATAGAAATTGTAAATTTTTATTTTCAAAAAGTTATTTAATTAATCAATATAACAATTTAAGTCATTATATATGAGAATATATTGGAAATACGACGATGTAATTTAAATTTTTAAAACTTTTTAAATATTTACTTCAGCCTTGAGATGGAAGAAAGCCGATATTTAAAAAAAAATCCTGCTTTTCAACTAACACAATAGAACACAAACGAAATGCTAATCGATAAAAAAAATTTGTAAATAATGTTTGTTGAAAAGAAAATAAACTTCCGCACAATTTTCATTGACTTTTACAAAATATAAGAAATGGAACGGAATAGAACAGATATATTTTATGCTACTTTACTTTTAATAAAGAAATTAATTAAAATTTTATTCAAAAATGAAATTGAGGCGATAATCAGTTTTTTTTTGTTTTTTTTTTTAGTTCATGAAAAGATAATCAATTTTTCGAAATTCTTCAGTGAGGTTTTTTAAAGTTGAAAGAGGAAATAAAACAACATACAGTGACTTTTGAATAATATTTATCAACAGGACGAATTTTCTTAATAAACAAGTTTTTATCGATATTTAAATGATGTAAAATTGCTTACAGTTGTATTTTACAATATCGCATTTAATTTTTCCAATTTAATTACATTCGTGTTATATACACATATTTTTAGAATAAAATAAAGTAATTTTGTGAAAAATTTTGGATAATAAGTAAAATGATATTTATAGCAGTAACAACTGATATATCTATACAACTGACAGAGTTGATCCATTAAGCTACGTATACCTAAAAAACTGAATAATTATGCTAATTGTGTTAATATTTCCACTGTACCGCTTAATACTCGTGTAAATTTAATCATAATAAAATAATAAAATAATAGCGATTAAAAACCACGTTAAAAAATAAATACATGAAATAATCATATAATAAATCTAAACTTATTAACTTGAATTTTCTATGCAAGTTAAACGAATCTTGTGAGTTATTACTTTAGAGAAAGCATCTTTGATTCATTAACTACATACTGTATCTAATGCTAAAAATGAGATAGTATATAAAAGATCAGAATAGAAAGCCTAAATGCGAAATAATAATTACCTGAACAGTTTCTTTCTGGAGTTAGAAGAAAGTATTCTGTCGAGCACTCGATAGATTACTTAAATTACCTATAACTGACCTCATTTATAAATTTTAAAAACTGATCTGATCAAAGCCATTCGATCATAACAGTCTATATCATTATTATTAAGTAGCAATCTAGTCAAGAATATTAAACAAGAATAATTAGATAAAATATTATCATCACGACTATTTTCAGTAGGGAATAGTAGAAACGAAGATCGTTACAAAATCATCAAAACTTGACCCATTTATACTAATGCTTTAATTTGAGATTAATTTGATGTTTTAGACCTAGTTTTAGATTTTCTAGTTGTGATTTATTTGTTTTTTTTTTTTTGAGTAATCAAATAACGAATTTGAGTAAATCAAACACTCTACTTAATTGTTTCAAGAGAGAAAGAGAAAAAAATAAAATAAAATAAGTGATAGTGACGGAGATAAATCTGATTACTTGTTCAATCAGAACCAAAAGAAGAATCGTCTGAATAAATCCTTCATATTATAACAGAAATTATGCATCCGATTTTGACCTATAAAAATAAATCGCACAAAAATTAAATCGATGAAATATTTGTTCTATTTTCTTGAATTTGTGTCAATATTTGAATTTCATCCAAATATTTTTAAACAGTTTATTTTTAAAAGCATAATCAAACTTGAATTTTAATGCATGGTAATATGGCAAAATGTATGAAACTTGTACAAGAAACACTAAAAACTTTAAAAAATAATAATTGTCTTTTAAAATGATTTATTGTATTAAAGTATATAATTAAACTTTGTGCTTATATTTATAATAATTCCTTTTTTTAATAATTTATTAACTCCGGAAATAATAGCCTAATAAAAATTCAAATTAAATATTTAATACTATTGTTGCATATAATTTAATAGGTATTTCAA